GCTTGACGGTACTTTGTGAAGACAATCCCTGTTGTCTTGCTTCTATCAGATTAATTTTTGACCGTGCATTGTCACGTTCCAACTGTAAAATTTGATTCTCCATTCGTAGACGTTCCAGCTCTGTGTTCAATTGAGTTAGGTCACATTCATTAACTGAGGACCTTTGATGCTCCTTTTTATCCATGGTGAATTTATTAAGAGCTGTAGCACAAAGAACTTCCACCTCAAGTAGAACCTCAATTGGCACCTCAACTGACACCTCAACTTGGCACCTCAACTTGGCACCTCACCTGGCACCTCAACTTGGCACCTCACCTGGCACCTCAACTTGGCACCTCAACTTGGCACCTCAACTTGGCACCTCAACTTGGCACCTCACCTTGCACCTCAACTTGGCACCTCAACTTGGCACCTCACCTGGCACCTCAACTTGGCACCTCAACTTGCACCTCAACTTGGCACCTCAACTTGGCACCTCACCTGGCTGCACTTCTCGATAGTTCGCAGCTCACGTTAGCACCTAAAAAGGTGGCGTGTTTTGAGTCCGTGTCTTAGTATGTAGTTTCACGCTGGAAGCATGACCCACGCTGTTTTAGTTGTCCCGCCGCTGCCACCAGTGTGACGAGATCTGGTTCCATGAACTTGGTAGCAATTCCGAACGACACGAACCAGGTCTCGTCTTATAAATCAGTCAACTCTCCCAGACAGTCGACTCTCACAACTCACAACTATTCAACGAGGATCTCAATCATGCATTCATCAATCACTTCAATCAAAGTAATATCCGAGACAAATAACGACAACTTACAATGATGTTTGATCTTTCAGCTTACTTTACTGCATTCCTTACTGCATCAATACAAAACACGGACTGCCCGTTCGCAGCGTTATCAAATCACTTATATCAATCTGACCAAAATGTCGCCCTCTTCAGGTTAAACACTGTAACATTCCGTCACAATATCGATGGAGTTCGAGTCAATTATTTCCTGAGGGAGACTATTCCAGTCTGACACCACTCTGTTGCTGAAAAAGTATTTCCTTATGTTTAGACGAGACCTGGTTCTCTGGTTCTGGTTCTGGATTATACTCCGACAAAGCGGGATCCCGCATCACGTCAGAGGGCTGACCTGGGGGTTGACCTGGTGGAGTTATTTCTGATTGGTGTTTGTGACAAAATCGCAGAGCCTTTTCTTAAAAATGTCTATGTTTCGGGCATCTAGGATGTCATGAGGCAGGTCGTTCCAATATTTAACAGTCCATGGAAAAAAGCAATTTGAGTAAATTTTTGTGTTGGTTCTAGGTCTCTGGAAGGATGATGGGTGTGTGCGTTTAAGTTGGTGAGATGGTCTGGTTAAGTAGGGGTTCCAGTCAACGTCTACGAGGTTTGCGTTGATTTTGTACATCATATTGAGTCGGGCAATCTTTTGTCTGGTCTCGAGGTCAGTCCACTGGAGAGAGGTTATCATGGCTGTCACGCTGGATTCTCTTGAGTAGTCGGTGAGGCACATTCTTGCAGCAGCTCTTTGGACAATGTCAAGCTGATGTTTTTCCTTTTGTGTGCTAGGGTACCATGCAGTCGTGTCGTACTCTAGTTTGGGTTGTACAAGTGATAGATAAAGTCGTGATTTGACGTCAACAGTACATGCTTTGAAGTTGCGTCGGATGACTCCCAGTACTTTCTTAGAGCTCTTGGTGATGTTGTTAATGTGAGAGTTCCATTTTAGATCGCTGCTGAAGGTGATGCCCAAGTAGGGGTGGCTAGAAGTCACCTGTAGAGAGTTGTTACATAGTTTATAGGGGGTAATGTTTGGAGATTTCTTTGATGTGAAATGCATGGTAAAGCATTTGTCCGTGTTAAAAGCCATCTGCCAGTCGGAGCCCCATTTCCTTGAAAATCTTTAGATAGTATCCTCGGGTTCGAGTATTGAGTGATAAGGTGAAGAAGTGACTTGGGTCCACTCTTACTAAGCCCTTTAGAATTTTGAAGACTGTAATGGCTTTGCCTCTCCTTCTCCTATAGTACAAGGAGTGTAGGTCAAAAATCTTTAGCCTGTCTGTGATGGGAAGTTTTCTTGTCTCTGGCATCATCTTTGTGGCTCTCCTCTGAACCCTTTCAACTTTGTAGCCATCTTCCTTCCAGCGTGAGTGCCATACGATGTTACCATATTCCATGCGTGGTCTTACTAATGTCTTGAGGTGCCGGAGTTTCCATTGTACAACATACTCTTTGTTGTTACGGCAGGCGTCATTACTAGTGAGGCATTCTTTACAAAAGCAAAAAAAGGTTTTTGGTCTGCACTTGATAAGGATTCCCAGTTGATCGTATGCAATGTACTTTCCTTGTTTGTGGAAGAGTAGCCACATGTTTGGTGCGATCTCTGCTTGTCGGTATCTCTTCGATCAAGAAGAATGTACGTCTGCTTTTTGTGTGTATGGATGAAGGGCCTGGTTGACTGACATCTGTGAGCTCTTCAGAAGCTCTGAAGAGATTTTGTAGAGATCCGTAGCGTTTTTGATGACTATGCCTTGCCCGCGTACTGCAACATCAAGTTTGGCTTTCAGCGTACCTGTCTCACCATCGGATTCGCCCTTCCCATGTTCTGACCCATAGAAGAAGCAGCGTTGGATGACAAAGTTGAAATCCTGTTCAGCATGAGTGAAATATGAGTGAAATGCGATAATTTTTCATTTTTCAAAAAAAAAGAAAGAAAAAAAAAAAACCCATAAAAACTGCGGAATCGCATAGAAACATGTAAGATAAGATAAGATTAGATAATTTATTCCATTCATCATAAAAAACATTTAGATACAATCACAAGATATAAATTATAGTCAAAATAAACAAACATTACATAAGAGAATGATACAATATAAGGTGATCTGGACAAAAACATAGAAAAAGTGAGTAATTCACCAGTGTACGGTTGTATCAGTGCGCATGCGCAGACAGTTGACCTCGGGTCATTGGCTTTGAAACACCCGATGATGATGTGCGTGCACAACGCAGCGTGTAGGCAGTGATGTCATCATAATTTGCATGGGCGCAATCTTAATTTACGCATAAATACACGACCTCATAGGTCATTGGCTTTGTTTAAAATGGCGCACACAACCGTAAACTGGTGTATTATGTGAATGAAAAGGCAGCTAACCGTATTCTTGTTTTTAGGTTGTGCTGCAAAACTGTGTCAGAATTCAGCTTAACGGTACTGTCAAAAATTCTAAGCATGCTTGTTTTAATATGTTAAGCCGTAGTGCCTGCGAAGTTTACTGTAAAAACAGTTCTGAAAAGACTGTGCCCGGTCCCTCCAAAGAGCGGCAGAATGGTAATCAGGAAATTTGGGGGTCATTTCCAAAGGTTTGGAAGCCGTTATTAAAGAGGGGGCTGGCCATATGTAAATGGCAGTAATGGTAGCTATGGATAATGGAAAAAGGAGAAAGGGGTGAACATATGAACTGCAAGCGTATTGGGGATGATCATCCTATCATTTTAGGTTTTGGGGCGAAATAACTTCTGTTCTCTAAAAACAGTTCAGAGCAGTGTAACGATAACACAAGGAGTGACAGAAAGAGACCATTTGCAGGAGGTAAATCTAAAAAGGAAGAAATAAAGAATAATATAAGGAAAGATAAAAGAGAAAAGGATAGCATATATATATACAAACAAAGAATTACAAAAGGAAAGATACTAGAAAATGATGGAAAGATAAAAATAAAGAATAACAAAATGATAAGGAAAGATAGAAGGATAAACCGAACGAAAACATAATGAAAGTTATGAAGAGAAACAATAAAACAAGAAATACATATCGATTATCAAATGAATGAGAAGCCTAAGAAAATACCTGAAAAAGAGGGGCACATGACTTTGTGTTGCAGTCCCCAGAATCAAAATGGTTTACAAATGAGGAATTGAATTGAATTGAATTGATTTGAACTTTATTTGTTTCCAATCACAGTTAAAATTCCATTTATACATTGTTGTAAAAAAATGGGCAAAGAAAATACATTGAAATATATATATATACATTGGAGCGAAAAAGAAAAAAAGAAGACATTATTAAAACTACTAACATCTGTGAGGTTTTTGAGAACCTGTTCTCTGTGTTTTGCAGTAAGGCAACATGGGTCAGGAGGTAACTGGTACCATAGATACTTGCAGGCTTCTTCAAGGGGAGTTGTGTACCTGTCATAAATTTCCTCCTTGGAGAGATCTGTCCATTTGACCTTGAATCTTCTTAGTATAGATCCATACGGCTGCTGGTTCTTGCTCATAGTATGTTTGGAGGCTGTGCTTGGGATGTTGATCTGCCATTAAACGGGAAGATGATCCGATACATTCTTCAGCATTTCTTGTCCGATTTTAAAGGATGAAAACAGGTTTGAAGCCTCCTTGTTGACAATGATGTAATCCAGGGGGGACTTGCATTGCCCATTATCACTACAAAATGTGTACTTGTTATGACATGATAAAATGTCATTTAGGCTTGTGAGCTTGTTGTGGAGCATGAAGAAGGCTAGGTCTTTTGCTTGCCGCTTCCATTGACGTTTTGGGGTCATGATGTTAGCATTAAGATCTCCAGTGATAATGAAGCTTGCTGTAGGGGAAGACTTTGAGATGTGGTGTGTGACCTCATCTAGAAGAGCGTGATAGAGGTGTCTGGAGTCTGTGGTGTTTCCTGTTGGCATGTACACATTCAGCAGGATTATCTTGAAGGCTGGATTGACAAATTTTATGGAGACTCCAATAATTCTGTCAGATTCTGTGGAGATCTGTTTGATCTAAGGTTCTAAACTTCTAATTCAAAACCAGGGTGGTACACATATTGTTCATTAATTTAGATCGAGTACAGATTCTAGATCTATTTTAAGTTGAGCTTTCACATTGTTTTATCATTATAACTAGATTGGACTAGAGAGGTACTCAAGTTGAAATTTCTGGTCATTCCTTAAAGTCGTTCCTGGTACTGTAGGATATAAAATGTGAATACCAGTATCACCATTTTTCTTTTTGGATCTACAGTTCGACTCGATGTCTTTGTGATGGCGAATGCAGCTCAAGTGCAGACGACTGAAGATGTATTCAGTAGTGACAGCGAAGAGGGCTCTGAAACGGAGTGTTACGGGACACGTATCAACCGTCTCGATGCTGCCGAAAGACAGGAATTGAGGGACAGGGGTGAGTACTTTGTAAAAGAGAAATTCAACCATATTTGTGCTTGGAAGGAAAGCAGGAAAATGAAAGACAGATAAGCAAAGGTTTCAACAAGTTTTGATAAACAATAAGAAAGTTATGAATTTTTAAGGTAGAATCACTAATTTTGATAAGCAAATAAGTACTGTCACCATGATTGAGTAATGGACAACTCCCTCAATTGTGTTTCCTTTTTTAGGAACTAAAGGATGTTTAATAATCATTTGATATTTTAGTCCTGTACAACAAATAGGAAAGTTATTTCCCCCCAAAGCACCATAGCTGATTAACTACTCTGGCACTTTTTTAGAAAATCAATTTTTGGTTTTGTTCAAATTGCACTAATCTTAGTTTTTATTATCTTACTGTATTTCTGTTTTAAGTTTGTAAATTTTGGTTTGTATTGCTCATACATAACTGAAGGGGCAGGGGGGGGGGGGCAACATTGTATCACAGGAAGAAATATGTGGTATAAACCCGTCTTAACTTTGACAGATTTGACTGTGTTTAATATGATATTGTTTGTTGCAAATTATAGGCATTGTTGTGAGAGAGGGTGCATGGACAGGGCTGGAAGACGAGAGGCTGAAAAAAAATATGCGCCACATATGCAAGGTGAGTTTGTGTTCTGTGTTACTTTGTCATACCGTGAATGTTTTACAAAGACACATCTTAAATGCTTACATTATTGTATATATATCATGGTAATAAAGATTTAGGCAGCTGTTCATCTATGGCAGCAGAGATAGACTTCCAAACTAAACCCTTATTAAATGGGCAAATTAAATATTTGTTTGTCAGGGTAAGGAATAGTTATGCTCTAAAATCAAAAGATCAGCTGGAAACAAAGAAGCAAAAATACAAATCTGTTAAAAAACAGGGGGGAGGGGCTGTGAATAATGGTGGCCAGAAAAGTAGGAGTTGAATATTTACTTAAAGCTGTTTCATGTACCCAATTTATTTTGTACTTCTTAATGGATAAATTGTTTGGCTTAAGAGTGTTTAGCTCCCTCTTAGCCGAGTTGGAGCCTCAAGTTGTGGCGAGCTGGCGCGAGCTTATGGCAAGCCGTTTTATCATTAAAACATATTTCTTGATATCAAGAAATCAATTCTTGATATCAACAAATAATTTAATGTTGTAAAGCAATGGTAATTCTTGATATCAAGAAATATGTTTCCATCTTTGTCCCTTTCTATTTCTGTCTTTATCCTCTTCTCTCTCCCTTTAATCTCCCTCCCTCCTTCCCTCCCTCCCCGTCACACCCTCTCTCTCTCCCTCCCTCCCTCCCTCCCTCCATCTTCCTTTCTCTTTTCTATTTACTTTTCCACAGAAATATGGTATAGATGATCCTAGAAAGTTGATCTTTGCAGATGACTATCCTGATGAAGCCAAGGAGATAAGAAAGCTGTTTGATGAGGAGCTGATACACATGAAGCTCAGTGAGTGTAGCAAGTTTGACGTTTCCTTCATACAATGAGTGGATGTTTCTTTATATCCAAGAACTGACTGATTCAGAATTTTTTGTGTGATGTTATATTTCACTGAGGCTGCTGGCAGAGGTGGAAAAGTAATTGCATTAGGGAAATTCTGACTTTGGAGGTGAATATACATGTATGTTACATGGAACGAGGATGCATTCTCTATTCTTGATATAAATTAAGAGCATTTCTGATCCCATGCCTTGTTTGTTCTTGAGCCATCCATCCTTCCACGTCAAATGGATGTGACTAAGACAATGTAAACAGTGTGTATGTGCAGGGTTACTGGAAATGCCATATGGTTTTTGTAACACTTATCTTCATTTCTCATTTTTTGTAATACAGGAAAAGGAATCCAACGTCCTGTTTACAATGTCTACATTAGAGCAAGGAAGATCTTTGATCCTCAAAATTATCTCGGCAGGTGAGGGATGGCATCTAATAGTTCTCAAGAGATGGAACCTTGTAAAACAAACAGAAATTCTAATCCTGTGTTAATTACTATCAAAATACATTTACTACCATTTGAGCTGATGTTTGTATGATATCGCTGATCAGTTTCACTTTATCTTCGTTTTTTTAATGTTTATTTTTGTACTTCTCTTTATATGGTATTTTTCGGACATTGCCGGTATTGTCTTTCTGTGTTTTTGTATTTAATTTCATTATGTTTTAGCTTGTGTATATGTAACTGTGTTGAAATTTTGCAGTTCTAAACAATTTACGAGATATATCATTTACTCCGTGGTCAATGAATAAAAAAAAAGGCTATATGCAATGTAACTATTATTATTATTATTATTATCATTATTTTTATTATTATCATTATCATCATAATCATCGTTATCATTAATGTTAGTACTAGAAGTAGTAGTATTATAATTAGTATTATTATTATAATTATTACTGCTCTAAAAAACAACAACAGGTTTTCTAATGAAGAGGTCCGCAAGATGAAGAACCTAGCCGTGAGGATGGGAACCAAATGGAGTCAGATCGCCAAGAAGATGGGACGCAGCGGGAGGTCACTCTGCGACAGATTCAAGATCTCAGGAAATGGAAGTATGTATTATGATTATGCTTAGCATTATTTTTCATTTAACCCTAGATTCTGGTTTTTGGTCCGATACAAAATTTTCAAAATTGTATTTGAGTTTCTGATGGTATAACTCTATTATTTAATAAACATTTACTGTACTTGTATTAAAGAGAACTGTTGCTGAGCTAGCGCCATGAGCGTCCCGGGGGGGGGGGGGGGGGGGGGGGGGAGGTGCTCCTTAAGTTTACACGATTATTATGATAATAGCTACATCAATATTGTTTTCATGTCCAACCCAGGGGATGATCAGAGCACCTACAAAGTCCTATTATTTCCTCGCTTTATTTACCCCAGCTGCCCTCAGGTAATAATGATAATAATAATATTTGGTTATCGTATAGTTACATTATATTGTCTCTATGCGTTTCCAAAGAGCTGTCAAAATTATTATACAGGCTTTAGGTATTGACAGCATAAATGAAATCAATTTCTACGAGATACCAATTCACTACACCTATAAAGTGGAGAGTGGCAAATGTAGATTAATGTTTTCCCAAAGGACATTAGGGCAATTTCACAGAAACTGTTAACTTGTCAAAAATCATGAGATTGGTGATTAGTCGAGAAATATTTGTTTTACCATGACAGATATATTATCCTCCCCACGTTGGCTTTTTTTAGGCCTATAAATATTTTGTACTCACCCTAGATTCTGGTTTTTGGTCTGATGAGGAGAGAGAGAGAGAGACTAGTGAGGGTGGTCAAGAAATTGTTTGCTTTCAACCAAGACCAGGATCTTGAGCAGCTTTAGTACTTCAACATCCGTAGGAAACCCTAAGACCCCAGCAAACTTATACACAATTCTCCCCCTTTTAATTCTTTAGGGCTGACATTATTTTTTATTTAACCGTAGATTCTGGTTTCTGGTCTGATGAGGAGAGGGAGAGACTAGTGAGAGTGGTCAAGGAATTGTCCGGTTTCAACCAAGACCAGGATGTTGAGAAGCTTTTCTTCAACATCCCTTGGGTCAAGGTCGGGGACGCCATGGAAACCAGGAATGTTCATCAGTGCAGGATGGAATGGTAAACATCAAGTTATATTAAATAATGTATTTGTACAAGATTGCAAAATACTGTTACCAACGTTACTTCCTTACCCTGACAGTTTCTTTGACATTGTTATGTTCAGTCCAGGCCTGATAATTACCCGATTTAAATCGCTTTCCAGATTATTTTTCCAGATTTCTTTTCTTTTCTTCTTCCCCCTGAATCCTATTTTTTTAAAGGAAAAAAAACAAAACAATTAACATTTTTATTTTTTATTTTTAGTGCTCACCATCACCCCTGTTCAGTCATGCATTTTCATCACAGATATATGGACTGAACAACTAAATTATGCATACCCTTACTAAGAATTGTAATTTTTTAAGTATGTAAAAATAGATTTGTCCCGATTTTTATGTTTCTTAATAACGTGACATATTATAGCTTACATCTAAAATTATTCAAAGCCCCAAGTCAACCAGTCCACCTTTCATTCTTGAGTTACGAACAAATACAAAACACATCAAATTTACAAGGAGTATGAATAATTCAGTTGCTAACGGTACATCTAGGCGTTTCATGTTGCTGATATCAGTGCTGACAATAGCTCTAATATGCATGTCCTATATTCTCTCTTGCTATATTAGGATTCACATTGTATCATGGGTTGCCGCTGACTACCAAACTCGCTATACCTCAAAAGGGCGCTGGAATGTAGAGGATAACATCAGGCTGATAGAGAAGTAAGTTTTGAAGAACTATGTGCTTTGCATACATCACTTAAAGCCCCTCTGCACTAGTTTGGCTAGGAAGGATTAGACACCTCCCTGCATGGTCACTGACAGGTGGTTATCTCATCAAATCAGCTCTCAATTAACATAAGAAAAAGGGGACCATGTGGGATCAATGGTCACCGATTAGGCATTGTTTGCTATATAGAGGGCGCAAGTAGCTATAAGTAGTGTAGTGGGGCTTTAATACTCCTTCCATGTTCCAATTTGACATATCTGAATATTTGTTTGTTGACCGCTCTGGATACGATTGCTCTACCACTGGGTCATTGTGCCTCCATTTCATCTCCTTCATCATAGTCGTCGTCGTCGTCGTCGTCATCATTTTCGTCATCATCATTATCATCATCTTCATCAGTGTTGAGAAGCATTTTGATGTTCTTTGTAATTCAGAGATCCAATTATAAATTAAGTGCATAGATCCATGCAATTATGCCAATGTGTTATGCACTATAAACAAATGTTTAATGTTATTATTCATTTTCATTATTAATATTATCATTTTGCCCCAGATATTTTGCTTGGATATTATAATGTGGCATCCCTCGAATGTGGAGAATACACTCAATTTGACTTTCATCTGTTTTTCACCTATTTCTCTGCAGGGTATACAACATGGATATCCATGATGAACAAGATATAGATTGGATGGCTTTACTGGATGACTTTCCAAGGTAATATTAATATTTTCAATACAATTTTTTTTCTTTCTTTCTTCTTTGATAATGTTTAACATTTGTATTATATATCATATGCTATTGCATGTATGAAGAAGATGAAATATTAAACTAAATAGTAGTTTGGAAATAACAATTTAAATTAAAAAAAAGTACATACTTTGGCCGGAAAAAAAGATTTTCAAAGAAAGCATTTTTCAATGGCCAAATTGGAAGATATGAAGCACTTTTCTTTTTTGGGAAATTTGATGATTCAGTTTTTGTCCAAAAAAAAGAAAAGTATAATTTTTTTTGTATTTTCCAACTAGGCATTTTTGCAACTTTTGCGACAAACCACAGATTTGTTTGTTTTTTTTAATTATTACCGCCATGATGGAATTCATTGCCTTGTATGCTGTGAACAGGAGCACTGAAATCGGTATCCAAGACAGAGCCAGTGTCATGTTAGAGTACAGTGAGTTCCATTTAGGTTTAGGTGGATATGTACACTACATTCTACCAAAATATTCATTATGATAGATATCATTATCTTCATTACTTTTTAATTTATTTTATTTGTTGAGTGATTGTACAATATTTCTTTTTTTATCTTTTCTTCCAGGGTACCATCCCCTCAGAAGCTTACCTACTACTGGTACAGACTCAAAGTGAAATATGTGCACAATTACAGGTTCAAGACTTATGAGGGTATGTGCATGATGAAAATGGGCAAAGTAATCTTTGAGGATGCTATTTTATGAATATCCTTGGAAGAATGTATTTCCAATTCATCTAAAATCTAATCAATTGAATCCCACACATTGAGGGGGAAATATCAAAAATACTGAATGACTTATATCTCCTTTTTAAAAGTTTGGGAAAAACTGTTGTTTTTTCATTCACTGTGACAAAATATAATGTAAATAAAAGTGAAAGTATATGTTTTAAATGTTACATTGTGCTACAAGCAATTTCACTATATGTGAGGGGAAGGAAAGACCTTGCAATTGGTTGAAAATTGTCAGCAATTCAAGATTTTAATGCCGATTTAATGACAATGTTCAATTTAATAAAGCACATGTATTAGGAACTGCACTGAACACTTGTTCTTTGCTTGTTGTGCTCATACATATATTGTAGATTGTACATACAGTATTGTATCTTCAAAGGAGAAAATTGGCAAAGAGTTGATTGAATGGCAGAATGATTGAATGCTGTGATCTTAAGAAAAATAAACAAAGCTATAATGCAATTAAGCTTTTCTCCCTGTAAATCATGTTCAGAGTTTGAAAATGTGATCTCGTTTTATTTGTTAGGAGTGCATATTGACAAAGTCATTGTCACATTCATGTTTTATATTACAGATATTGTCTGCCATCTTCACGAAACATCCTTGCCAGAACTGAGGGAGAGACTGACCCGGGGTGGGCAGAAGATCGTCTCAAGGGAGATCGTGGACGAAGAAAGTGACTCCGGAGGTGACGAGACACAAGTTGTGAACGAGAGGAATGATGGTCAGAGTGATGGTGTATCCATGACAACCAACAGAGGAATATCAATTGAATCTCGCACTGATGGAGTGAACGAGCAAAGGCAGGATGGTGAAGATACAGAGGAGGGCAGACATGACGGACATGATGAAGTGGAAAATGAGGAAAGGAAAAACAATGATAGACGGAGGACAAAAAAGAGAAAGAAGAGACAGAGGAATGAACGAGGAACAAGTGATGATGATGGTGCAGTAGAAAGCAATGTTGAAAGGAATTCAAAAGATGCAGAAAACAGGGGAGCTGGTGGTATTCACAAGAAAACAAAGATTGACAAGGCTGTGAATGAAAATAGTTTGGATGAAGGAGAGAGGATATCGGACACAAGGAAGGAGAAGAAAAAGAAGAAGAAAAGGAAGAAAAGGCTTTCTGATAGTGAAATACAAGGTTGAACATATTCTTATAATACTTATGAAAAGGAGTAATGAATTAGATTCTCCTGGTAGAGAGGTGGGAGAATGAAAGAGATGCATAGATGGTGATGTAATCAGATTCACATAACTGCATAAAGACCAAAGGAGCAGCTCTAGTATTAAAGGGGGATTTAATAGATTCCTGAGAGCTTATAACCATCACTCCGGCAGCTCCTCCATACACAATATTCATCTTCTTTTCACAGGAGTGAATTTGACTAAAATCTCGGCATCGAACACTGTTTATCGAGAGGATACATGTATATCAATAAAATACACCAACCTGTGATACTTATTTGAGTGATAAACTTGGTTTTCCAAAGGATATCATCCAGTTTTTATCTTCAGATCATTGACAAAATCTATCCTCATCGTTTAATACAGTCTTGTGTGTTTAATATTTCTTGTGTTTCAAAATTGGGTTTAACATTATACATTGATGATGATGAAGATTGTTATGCCTCCGCCACCGAAGGTGGTGCCGGAGGCATCATGTTTTCGGGTTGTCCGTACGTCCGTCCGTCCGTACGTCCGTCCCGTTTGACCGTTATCACAATATCTCAAGAACCATTTAAGATTTAAACTTAAGACTCGGGAATAGTATTTATCACCATAGGAAGACGATCTGATTAGATTTTGGAGTACGTAGGTCAAAGGTCACAGGTCACAGAGGTCAACTTATGAAATTCCTTGTATTGAGTTTGTTAGCGCGATATCTCAAGAACCATTTGAGATTTAAACTTCAAACTTAAGGATAGTATGTATCACCATAGGAAGACGATCTGATTAGATTTTGGAGCACGTATGTCAAAGGTCAAGGGTCACAGAGGTCAACTTATGAAATTCCATACATTGAGATTGTTATCATGATATCTCAAGAACCACTGGAGATTTAAACTTCAAACTTAGTGATAGTGTGTATCACTATAGGAAAACAATCTGATTAGATTTTGGAGCACGTAGGTCAAAGGTCAAAGGTCACAGGGCTCATTATGTATGCAAAAACAGCTTGTGATCGCGTTATCTGAACAACCTATTGATGGATTCCTGCCAAACTTTGGTCATGTATGTATCTTGCAGAGCTGATGAACTGATTAGATTTTGGGGTCACGAGATCAAAGGTCAAAGGTCACAGGGCTCATTATGTATGCAAAAAAAAAATGTGATCTAGTTATCTGAAGAACCGATTGATGGATTCCTGCCAAACTTTGGTCATGTATGTATCTTGCAAAGCCAATGAACTGATTAGATTTGGGGTCACGAGGTCAAAGGTCACAGCGCACATTGTGTATGCAAAAACAGCTCGTGATCGCCCTATCTCAAAAACCGATTGATGGATTCCTGCCAAACTTAGGTCATGTATGTTACTTGCAGAGCTGATGAACTGATTAGATTTTGGGGTCATGAGGTAAAGGTCAAGGTCATGCGGCTCATTATGTATGCAAAAATAGCTTGTGATCGTATTATCATTAGAACAGATTGATGGATTCCTGCCAAACTTAGATCATTTATGTATCTTGCAGAGCCAATGAATGGTTCGTAAGATCAAAGGTCATGGGCTCATTATGTATGCAAAAATAGCTTGTGGACGCATTCTCAGTAGAACTGACAGATGGATTACTATTTAACTCAGGAAATCTTGCAGAGCCAATGAACTGAGTAGATTTTAGGGTCATGAGGTCAAAGATCAAAGTGTCAGATATGTATATGAGAAATTGCTTGTAATCACGATATTCTGAGAACATGTTAATGGATTACAATTGAACTTGAATATGAAAAATTTCTTCCGTTTCGGTTTGTAAAATTGCTCTATGACGGAGGCATCATTTTCGACTGCGCGCAGTCGAATTCCATCTAGTTTTTAATACTGTAGGTTAGTTTCCCCACAATGAATGTACATACATGCCATGAGGTTGATCCTGACTCCCATATCCCTTTGAAAGGGGCAAAGGGGCATATATTGTAAAAATTTGAATTATCACAACTTTCGGGCCGAAATGGTAAGGGCCGGGGTGGTTCAGCATTTTGGAGGAAAATATTATTTTTTTGAATAGGTTAGTTTCCCCACAATGAATGTCCATACATGCCATTAGATGGATCCTGACCCCTAATCCCTTTGAAAGGGGCGTAGGGGCAAATATTGTGATAATTTGAATAAACACCAATTTCAGGCCGAAATGGTAAGGGCCGGGGTGGTTCAGCATTTTGGAAGAAAAATACATTTTTTTTAATAGGCTAGTTTCCCCACAATGAATATACATACATGCCATTAGATGGATCCTGACCCCCATATCCCTTTGAAAGGGGCGTAGGGGCAAATATTGTGATAATTTGAATAAACACCAATTTCAGGCCGAAATGGTAAGGGCCGGGGTGGTTCAGCATTTTGGAGGAAAATATTATATTTTTTGAATAGGCTAGTTTCCCCACAATCAATGTACATACATGCCATTAGATGGATCCTGACCCCCATATCCCTTTGGAAGGGGCGTAGGGGCAAATATTGTGATAATTTGAATAAACACCAATTTCAGGCCGAAATGGTAAGGGCCGGGGTGGTTCAGGATTTTGGAGGAAAATATATATTTTTTTTAATAGGCTAGTTTCTCCACAATGAATGTACCTACATGCCATTAGATGGATCTTGACCCCCATATCCCTTTGAAAGGGGCATAGGGACAAATATTGTGATAATTTGAATAAACACCAATTTCAGGCCGAAATGGTAAGGGCCGGGGTGGTTCAGCATTTTTGAGGAAAATATTATATTTTTTGAATAGGCTAGTTTCCTCACAATCAATGTACATACATGCCATTAGATGGATCCTGACCCCCATATCCCTTTGGAAGGGGCGTAGGGGCAAATATTGTAAAAATTTGAATTATCACAACTTTCGGGCCGAAATTAGAAGGTCCGGGGTGGTTCAGCATTTTGGAGGAAAATATATATTTTTTTTAATAGGTTAGTTTCCCCACAATGAATGTCCATACATGCCATTAGATGGATCCTGACCCCCATATCCCTTTGAAAGGGGCATAGGGGCAAATATTGTGATAATTTGAATAAACACCAATTTCAGGCCAAAATGGTAAGGGCCGGGGTGGTTCAGGATTTTGGAGGAAAATATATATTTTTATGCCTCCGTTACGAAGTAGCCGGAGGCATTATGTTTTCGGGTTGTCCGTCCGTCCGTCCGTACGTCCGTACGTCCGTACGTCCGTACGTCCGTCCGTCCGTCCGTACGTCCCGTTCTCGTGATCGCGTTATCTGAAGAACCGATTGATGGATTCCTGCCAAACTTTGGTCATGTATGTATCTTGCAGAGCCGATGAACTGATTAGATTTTGGGGTCACGAGTTCAAAGGTCAAAGGTCACAGGGCTCATTATGTATGCAAAAACAGCTCGTGATCGCGTTATCTGAAGAACCGATTGATGGATTCCTGCCAAACTTTGGTCATGTATGTATCTTGCAGAGCCGATGAACTGATTAGATTTTGGGGTCACGAGTTCAAAGGTCAAAGGTCACAGGGCTCATTATGTATGCAAAAACAGTTCGTGATCGCGTTATCTGAAGAACCGATTGATGGATTCCTGCCAAAATTAGGTCATGTATGTTACTTGCAGAGCCGATGAACTGATTAGATTTTGGGGTCATAAGGTCAAGGTCAAAGGTCATGCGGCTCATTATGTATGCAAAAATAGCTCGTGAACGCATTCTCATTAGAACTGACAAATGGATTACTATTTAACTCGGGACATCTTGTAGAGCCAATGAACTGAGTAGATGTTAGGGTCATGAGGTCAAAGATCAAAGGGTCATATATGTATATGAGAAATTGCTTGTAATCACGATATTCTGAGAAACTGTTAATGGATTACAATTGAACTTGAATTTGAAAAATTTCTTCTGTTTTGTTTGTAAAATTGCTCTATGACGGAGGCATCATTTCGACTGCGCGCAGTTGAAGTTCCATCTAGTTTTTAATAGGCTAGTTTCTCCACAATGAATGTACCTACATGCCATTAGATGGATCTTGACCCCCATATCCCTTTGAAAGGGGCATAGGGGCAAATATTGTGATAATTTGAATAAACACCAATTTCAGGCCGAAATGGTAAGGGCCGGGGTGGTTCAGCATTTTTGAGGAAAATATTATATTTTTTGAATAGGCTAGTTTCCTCACAATCAATGTACATACATGCCATTAGATGGATCCTGACCCCCATATCCCTTTGGAAGGGGCGTAGGGGCAAATATTGTAAAAATTTGAATTATCACAACTTTCGGGCCGAAATTAGAAGGTCCGGGGTGGTTCAGCATTTTGGAGGAAAATATATATTTTTTTAATAGGTTAGTTTCCCCACAATGAATGTCCATACATGCCATTAGATGGATCCTGACCCCCATATCCCTTTGAAAGGGGCGAAGGGGCAAATATTGTGATAATTTGAATAAACACCAATTTCAGGCCGAAATGGTAAGGGCCGGGGTGGTTCAGCATTTTGGAGGAAAATATTATTTTTTTGAATAGGCTAGTTTCCCCACAATGAATGTACCTACATGCAATTAAATGGATTCTGACCCCCATATCCCTTTGAAAGGGCATAGGGGCAAATATTGTGATAATTTGAATAAACGCCAATTTCAGGCCGAAATGGTAAGGGCCGGGGTGGTTAAGGATTTTGGAGGAAAATATATATATTTTTTAATAGGCTAGTTTCTCCACAATGAATGTACCTACATGCCATTAGATGGATCTTGACCCCCATATCCCTTTGAAAGGGGCATAGGGGCAAATATTGTGATAATTTGAATAAACACCAATTTCAGGCCAAAATGGTAAGGGCCGGGGTGGTTCAGGATTTTGGAGGAAAATATATATTTTTTTTAATAGGCTAGTTTCTCCACAATGAATGTACCTACATGCCATTAGATGGATCTTGACCCCCATATCCCTTTGAAAGGGGCATAGGGGCAAATATTGTGATAATTTGAATAAACACCAATTTCAGGCCGAAATGGTAAGGGCCGGGGTGGTTCAGCATTTTTGAGGAAAATATTATATTTTTTGAATAGGCTAGTTTCCTCACAATCAATGTACATACATGCCATTAGATGGATCCTGACCCCCATATCCCTTTGGAAGGGGCGTAGGGGCAAATATTGTAAAAATTTGAATTATCACAACTTTCGGGCCGAAATTAGAAGGTCCGGGGTGGTTCAGCATTTTGGAGGAAAATATATATTTTTTTTAATAGGTTAGTTTCCCCACAATGAATGTCCATACATGCCATTAGATGGATCCTGACCCCCATATCCCTTTGAAAGGGGCGAAGGGGCAAATATTGTGATAATTTGAATA